TGGTATAGAGGAATGGAATAAATGTTGAATCATTGATGAAAATGGGACCTAAGGGTTGTAATGTTAATTATGGAAAATGACCTAATTACATTGGATGGCTGGAAGAAGAATCGTAAGAGTGGCATTGTCCTAAAGTTAGATTTTGAAAGAGCTTATGATTCAATCAATTGGAATTTCTTATTTACCATGCTTTCAAATTTTGGTTTTGGGGTTAAATGGATTAGTTGGATGAGGGAGTGTGTCTCAACAGCCAGAGTTTCTATTTTGGTAAATGGTTCGCCAACATCAGAATTTAGCCCGCAAAGAGGTCTCAGGCAAGGTGACCCTCTATCCCCCTTCCTTTTTAACATTGTGGCTGAGGGCTTGAATATCCTGTTGGAAAGAGCAAAACAGCTGGGGTTGATCAACGGGGCAGCAGTCGGTTCAAGTGCCTTTAGGATCTCTCACCTGCAATTTGCGGACGACACAATTTTATTTTGTGAAGCTCATTGGGGGGAGGTCAATAACTTAAAGAGAATTTTGAGATGGTTTGAAGTGTTGTCCGGTCTAAAAATTAACTACCACAAGAGTGTGGTGTGTGGTGTTGGGTTAACAGTTGAAGCATCCAAGGAATTTGCTGACAAGTTCAATTGTCTTCACCAAAGTTTGCCCCTTAAGTACTTAGGACTCCCTCTCGGTGCAAGCCCAAGGAGAAAGAGGACTTGGCAGCCGGTATTAGCCAAATGCAAACAAAGGCTTTCCTCTTGGAAGAGAAGATACCTCTCCTTTGCTGGTAGGGTGACTTTGGTTAAATCTGTGTTGTCTAGCTTACCTATATATTATTTATCTTTGTTCAAAATGCCAGCTGGGGTTGCTAAGGAATTTGTGTCTATTCAATCCAATTTTCTCTGGGGTGGGGATGGCTCTAGGAGGAAAATACATTTGGTTAAATGGAAGGAGATTGCTAAAAGCAAACAGCAGGGGGGTCTCGGGGTTAAAAGGATTAGACTCATGAATGAGTGCCTCCTATTGAAATGGTGGTGGAGGTTTGGGGCTGAACCTAATGCTCTGTGGAAACAGGTGATAGATAACAAATACAAGCAGGTGGGGGTAGGGTGGTGTCCAGAACCTATTGATAACCCTAGGATCTCTTGTATATGGGCTGATATCTTGGGTGTTGCTAGAACCAGACCAGATCTGGTACAATTCTTTAAAGAAAACTCTGCTCCAGTGATTGGGGATGGGAAAAACACTATGTTCTGGCAAGGTACATGGTGTAATAATGTGAGCTTGATGGAAGTTTTCCCTAGGCTTTATTCCTTGTCTTTAGAAAAGTTTGTTTCTGTGTATGTGATGCACTCCAGAAGACACAGTGGGGTGGAGTGGAACCTCAATTTTAGAAGAGCACTTTTTCAGTGGGAGGTGGAGGATTTGCATAGATTGAAATTGCTGCTGAGTAATGCTCCAGCCCTTAGGGAAAGTGTGGCCGATGCTTTGCATTGGAAAGCAGACCCATCAGGCAACTTCACTGTGTTCTCGGTGTATAAGTGGTGTGAAAATTCCTTTGGTACAGTTTGTAAGGCTTCAGATCTGCTATGGAATAATGTTTCTTCGCCTAGAGCTCAATTTTTTGGTTGGTTGGCATGGAAAGGAAGATTAAAGACCTCTAGTTTTTTGCAACGAATTAGAGTGCTTTCAGATGAGGCCAATGTGAGTTGCATTTTCTGCAATGAAGAAATGGACAGTGTAAATCATGTGCTTCTTCTTTGCCCTTTTGTTTGGAAGGTTTGGACACATATGCTAAATTGGTGGGGTTTGCAATGGTCTCTACCGGGTTCAGTGCTCTGTCTGTTTGATTGGTGGGTTGGTACAAGGCTGAATAAAAAAGAGAGGGTGATTTGGAAGGCCATGCCTCTGGCCGTGATTTGGTCCATCTGGAAATTAAGAAATGATTGTATCTTTAATGGCATTCACCCAAATTTAGAGGAGCTGTGTGAGGCCATTAAAGTGCGAGTCGCGTTGTGGTGCAAAGATGCGGGCGCTTGCTACTCAGGTTATTCTGTAAATGACTTTGTGAATAACCTGCAACAAGTAAGGTTCTGCATCAGGGGCATTGGTTGAAGTAGGTATTGGTGTTGGACTGTAGAATACTGTCTGGCCAGCTGTGTGGGCTGCTGGGTTGCTTGCTGCTGGGTGGGAAGTTGGTTCCATTCTACTGCTGTCTTGGTGCATGTTTTGGTGAAGCTGGACTGATGCAGAGGGAGCACTGTGTGCATGTAAGCTGGTGAAAGTGGCAGTGGTCTGAGGCTGGACTATTGCAGTTTGCAGTGGCAGTGGTCTGATGCTTCCTCTGGCCTCTAAGCAGAGGAGTTAGTTTGTTATCATTGCATGTTTGGTCTGCAGGTAGTAGATTTGATGGCAAGGTGGGAATCACAGTCCAAGATACAAACCCAAGGATGTTGGAAGTTTGATTTATCAGCAAGGTTATAGAGAGTTACTTGTCTATGCCTTCTTCTGCTGGGTAGTTTGTAGTTGTCCTACAGTCCTCTTCTGCTGGTTGCTCCGGTTGTCTCCTCTGTTGCTGCTATGAGGATGGTTGATCAGAGAGGCCGGTAAATAGGTGTGGCCAATGCTTTTTTGGGTGAGGTAGTCTTTGTTGTTTGTGGTTGGTTCCTCACCAACTCTTGTGGTGGTGCTAGCATATGATTGTGCGGCCCTGTCGGTGCCAACCTAGTTAGGATTGATAGGGTCCGCTATGATGCTCTTTGCACTCCTCCTCCTAAAAAAATATGCGTATCGGTAAGTTTTTTTCAAATTGTGCAAAAAATAAAAAAATTCACGGTTCCGGTTACCGCAACCGTTACACTACGGCCTTTACACCCCGCAACCGCAACCGCGTCACCGCCACCGTTACGGCGACCGTAACCGCTTTTCAGAACCTTGGTCTCACCTGAAAAGAAACTGCCTTATCTATCAGGCTAACCCCTTAGTCTTATCAAAATCTTACTTTTGACACTTTTGCTTTTAATTGTGTTAGTAATTTTCTTATATTTTAAGTTTAGTTTGCAATGCTAGCCTTTCATCTTCCTATCGTTGATGAAGATGACCAAAAGTAATACATATGCTACACGTGACATTTTTTTGAGGGCATAATTGAAAACAGAGAGATTAATGTGAAATTTTGGTAAAAGTATAGAAAACGTATATGCATATGATTTGTTTTACAGTCTATGCTAATCTAGTTGGAATATGCTCCGTAAGTAATGGTTTTGGCCTTGGCCTTTTCCTTTTCTACTAATGTATTTTTGTTTTGTACGACTATTACCTTTGATCTACATCAATAAATTTTATTTTGCCAATAAAAAAGAGATAAAGAAAACGTCATGTGGTAGTTGAAAATTTAATGAAACTATATAGGAAAGTTAAATGTAGCTAACCCTTAATTTTTTGAAAAAAAAGAAAGAAAAAGGATTGAAATCCTTAAAAAGTTGGTCAAAATTTACTTATAAATATGACATGACAAATTATGTGTCAACTTGGAATTTGTCAAAGCTCTATCATGTGTGAATTATGAGTTCTAAATTGTAGATCTAGCATAATAAAATACACACTGTTTATATCAATAAAGTAAATGAGGAAAATTGATCGAGTCCTTAAGACAGAATTCATCACTCACTGTGATACATGAATGTAACTCAAA